GCCTCTGACTCACTGTTGGTCTTCAATCAAAAGAATCAACAAAACTTATGATATTCTTATTTTAAATGGTTACATAAAAATCCTTGTACACAGAGTGGCATTAAACAGTTTACTGTGTCTAAAAATAATATTTACATGTATAAACATATAGGTTATTCCAGACCTACCTTATTCTCCACGTTCCCACCATGAACCAGTAGATCTCACACAGAGTGATGCAATGCAAGAAAGTCAGACAACAGTGGAGATGAGCTTCAGTTGGCCAGCAGTTCTTCATATGGAGAACTCTATTTGAAGTCCTCATTATTCAATTAAAGGAGACCAATTATGGGTCCTAGAAATTTTTATGGTATGTCTGTGGGCTATCCAGTATTTCCCATTTTCTAGTTCTGCCTGCTCTGACTTCCATTCAGAAGAGCTGTTTATGTTAATGAGCTCTGTTGGTAACGCCCTCCAAAAATCTGTTGACATTAACTCCGCCCTCCAAAGCCAGCGTTTACGTTAGCATGGCTAATAATAGCAGAAGCTCCGTTGTACAACCGTATGAGACCCAGAGGCAGAGTCATGGTGGCAGTTTCTTTTTTTTTTTCTCCCACCTCTGCTCTGCCCTCACTCTGCATGCTGTTACCAGAGCAGGGAGCAGCAGCAGTCAAAATACCTCAGAAACTCGAACAAATAGGCTTTAACAAGGCTTTGATAAGCTAAACAATAGAGGTACATGAGAAAATGTGTTCATTACGAACAAAAATAAATAAATAATTAAATTGTGTCCGTGCCTTTCTCAAACCCTGCTCTCCCACCCTCTGGTCCAACACTCTATCCATTGCCCTGTTGGAGGCTTGTTGTGAAATGAGCTGCACATTGCACAACAACACCGTGATGGCTTTTTATACTGAGGAGGAGGAGTCTCACCCGGAGGTTGCTAGGTAAGGGGCTGAACGCTGGTTCCAGTGGGTTGTCGCACGGCTTGTGACATCACAAAATGACGGAAGTATAAAACTTGTCGTTAATATACATTAAAATACATTTACTTACAGTAAATATGCCCCTGGGTGCATTTTTTGGTCATAGGACTGTTTTTTTAAGAAGTACATACCCAAAGTTGAATAAAAAAAGCTTTAAAAAGTGAATTTTGCATAATAGGCCCCTTTAAAGTCCTGTCCATACAGGAACACCTTTTTTACAAAATTATCTGTGTCTTGTAAACACAGCACAGTTTCTAGTATAGTTTTTATCCACATAGAATTGCACAGAATGACCCAAACACTACCAAATCAAATCAATGTTTTTTTAGCATCTGAGGCCTCCCAAAGTGTTCTCAGCCCAGAGAGGGTAAATAATCTCTCCTGTAATTTCTGGGTCAGGTGTAAGAAGTCTACCCAGTGGGACATGTCTGTAATGCCTCTGAAGGGAGGTTTCCAGGAATCAATCTAATCAGATGACCAAACTACAGTACCTCAGCTGACTCATTTCAATATGGAGCAGCAGCGGCTCTGTAATCTGCTGGGTGTTTTGAGTAGAGCCAATCGCTAAGGCTGCAGCCTGGCCACTCCATGTAGGAATCTCATTTCAGCCACATCATCTAGGAAACGCAGAGACAAGACCTTGAGGTTCCCAAATCCGACAATTTTCACCCTCCTGCCCCTCACTTCCACACTTTATTTTGTATAAAGCCACAATAAAATATTTTATTCTCTAAACAACTGACTGTATCAATTATGCGATTACTGTGTTATTGTTCCCTTTACTTCATATTGGGTATTTTTTTCCATTTTAAATGCTTTCCACTTTACCATGCAGGGTCATGGGGGAGCAAGTGCCGATTTCAAGCAGTCATTGTATGACGGGACACCTTGGACAGATCAAAGTCCATCACAGGGTCACATAGAGCCCATCATTTAACACTCTCACGCTCATCTAGTGGCAATTTAGAGTTTAAAGTAGCTATAATTTACACCAAATACAGTACTTCAGTGGTAATAATTAATAAATTTACTCTGATCACACATCAAGATGAGCCTTTTTACTTTGGTATCCATTGTTACTTATATTTGAACACTATAGTGCGACTCCACAGATTTCTTGGGAAAAAAATCAAACACTTCTCTAATAGCTTTCTATTGTCCAGTCTTCAGTAATACTATGTAACCTTTGTGGTTTTACTCAAACCATTGTCTCAAAGGAAGGCTTGGCTCAGCTGCAGTTTAACTGTTTTTGTGTGTGGATGGATACATAAGGATCCACATGAGAAAAATATTATCACTGAAATAAAACAACACATTTAAAATTTTTAATTGACTTCAACACTGATGGGCAAAATATTTCATTGTTTGAGGTTAACCCTGATTCCTGTTACACAGAAAAGCACAATATCGTCATACAGAGTAATGACTGAAAAGGCAGTTCATTTCTTTGAGCATTCCTGCTGATCAGGATCTATAAACTAAGACATTACCTGTACTCAGATACATTTTCAAACATACTGCACATCAACACAACTGCACCAATTAGCCATGGGAATGTGTTTCAGTTGGAGGGTGCTGAGTGCATAGGTAAGTTTGAGTTAGAGAATTTGCATGATCCTACCCTATATAAAAATATGATAATACCAAAAAGATGAAGTGAAAGCACAGTCAGTGCATATTGTTTAATCCCAACATTGATATTAAAATTTGCTCCAAAAGTTGAAAAGACAATATCCATAAATTTGCAGTCAAGACTTTATGTTGGTTCACTTTTAGTCTTCCAACCATGTCCAAGACTGTAAAAGACTACCAGTTCAGTGTTCATGTCTCCTCTACTGTAGACATTATTGAAGCTAAATTCATCATAGTTGGAAACATGAAGTAACTTGTAAACTTACAAACTTATAAACTTATATAACTTAGAAACCTTTTTCATCACATGAAGCATGCCATTATTTACTTTTTATTTTTACATTTAAAGTTATGAGAAAAAAGTCAGAATTCTGAGATTAAAGTCAGATTTTTTTCCAGAGGCCCTAATCCTCTTTCTTAGTAATGTCTACACTGAAAACAGTCAGTTGTTGGCGTTGTTATCATGGTTATTGTTTTCACAACTTAGTTTGAACTGCATATTTCACTAAATTACAAAAGACAAACTTAAGCAAGGTAATGGCACTTCAGACAAAAATGGATTTCAAAATAGAGCTACTTTAAAGCAGCATATTTTAGGAGGTTGTACAAATTTGGACCCACGTGTACAACAGTGTTGGTTTGTACACCAGATTTACAAAATACGTAAATCTCAAAATATTCTTGGAATATAAACATACACAGCACCAATAAAACCAGTTACATATTTTCGTTTAATCAATTCAATACCTTTGTTTCTGAACATGGATATCCTCTGTCATTCACTACTTAGTGCAGCAGCACCCCCCAGCACCCACTGTTCCCATGGCTTTAACCAGACATCAAACAGGAAGAGCAACCTTTTTTTAAATAGGTTTGTATCCAAATTTTATACTGATTCATTATTCTCTTTAAAGTGGCTCAAATATTAAAACTTACTCAAGAAAATTAAAAATAAAGCAACACTTTATCTCACATTGGGTATTTATACACAATAAAGGTGAAGAACACAGTCAGACCTGCCACTTTTTCTTCATGGCTCAAAAAAGTTGATTGTCATCAACTGCAGCAAAAAGGCGCACAGTCTTGCTTTCCYAAGTATTCCTCTTTTCAAGAATACCTTTTATTTTTGTTGAAAACAGAGCAAAAGAAGGCAAGTTACACAATGTTGTGTCACACAACATGTGTAACAACATAACTGGACAATTTACCTGATAATGCTCTGAAACTGTTTTTTTTTTTTCTTTGACCCTCACTGTTTTTCCTCCTCCGACAGGGGAGAGCTCTTTTACTATCTGTTATCCAAAATCAAAATTTAAAACCATGGAAATAACAACTAAAAATAGCATACAATGACAGCAAAAACAATAAAATATTAAAAACTATAATCATAAGGACCATAATTAAGGTTAGTGAAGTTCATGAGTGTGTCTGTGTGGTGAAACACAAGACTGAGGCCAGAGGAAAGAAGGTGGGGACTACCACACATAAAGTGACTGATTTGCTTACTGAAGCGCTACACTGCTTTTACCTTCTTGGCTTTATTTTTTACTCCCACCACACATTCATGGAATAAGCCACGAAGGGTTTGGGCCTGAGTGTTACATTGTAAAACTTTTTTATGTTGTCCACAGCTCATTACAGGACTACTTATTAATATCCACAAGCCTCAAGAAGACAATACATCTGAAACGACAACAGTTTTTGTGAACACTAAGTGCTAAACAGGACTGCCAGATAGTCTGTGATTGGAGCGGCCACTGTTCTCGTAATGAAATAAAAGCTTGTAGATGCACAGCAAGTGCCATCAATCTGTGTTTTTGGGCAAATAATAGCAAATCTTTTTTGTTTTCTATGGTTTATTAGGGCTTTATTAGTCTCTGAGGTCCTGATCCTGTCACTACAATTAGGCCAAATTTAGCCCAGCGTGCAGGGGAGGATCTTCCGTGTAACTGTAACCAAACTTCAGAAAATAGGAGCAAGAAGGAATGCCCCTTTTTTTTCACTGACATCTTTTTTCTGGCTGATAAATATAAGTTGGTGATTGTTTCTGCTAGGAAACTCACGTTGTGAGCAGCACAAATCTGATCTGCTAATTACTATCTGAAGAGACAAATTACAACTTTTTGCAAAAACCATTTCACAGTTACACAACCATTAAAGTCCACTGTCTTTCACTGAGGTAAATTCACTCCACAAAGCTGAGATTGTCACATCAAAGTGTATAAGTTTCAGTCATGTACAGCATATTGACCAGCCATTTCCTGGTCAGTGTGTCTGCATAGACACATACAGTATGTATCATACAAGTTCTTCATTGCCAGCCTTCAGCAATTTATGACGAGTTAATTTTATGTCTCTTTATTCCTGTCTGGTGTCATCACTGGTAGTCAGTCTGCTCTTGAGGACTGGATGAGGAGCTCCCTGTGGCCAGAAGCCCAACAACCCTGCTGTGTACTTTGTCCTTGCCCTCCTCCTGAGCCACATTATGTCCTAAGGACAACTGGCTAGATGTTGAGCTGGAAGAGATTAGAGGCTGGTTCAGGGTTCCTGTGCTCTTATTGCTTCCCTCTGTGGTCTGGTACATCTCTTCAGCACCATCCTCACTAGACTCTTGGTCCTCCGAGCCCGAGAGCAGCTCCTCCTCTCTGTATTCGCTGACATCGACCCCATCACTGGTAGCAGCCCCCTCACCCAGCTCTTTGAGGCGACCGTGGTGCTTGACATGGTAGCGCTGATTCTGGAAGAACTTGATGATGGTGTGTTTAGGGAGGTCAAGCTGTGCAGATAAGGTATGGATGGCTTCCTGGTCAGGATACAAGCCAACGTCCTGAATGAAGCTCTGCAGAATCCCTAAAGCCTCCAGGGAAATCTAATGCATTCAACCAAGTATATAAAAAAGACAGACCATGAACGTAAGTAACAACCAACTAATTTATACAGCAAAGACCCATAATAACAAATGACTAAGGCAAATTCCATTTTTGTTTTATCCCTACACCAAGATTCTGAACCACCATAGATATCAAAAACAACCTAAACACCACAGTGCTTGGGATGAATGTGCGAAGTGGTGGGACAGACCTAAGTAGTAGTAGCAAAGGGTAAAATGGATGCAGGCTATGTACCTTAGTGCGTGATCGTGGTTTCTTATTGCTCCCAGCACTTCCTGCTGTGGCAGGTGGACCTCCACCTGGTGCTCCTGCTCCAACACTCTGTGATCTCTCTTCATTTAATGGGACAGGTAATGGCTCCTCATGCACTGGAGATGGATGGCGCTCCTTGATTAGGGCTGGAGGTGGTCTATGAAGTGCCTGGTGAGAGAGAAAGTAAAACTGATTAGCGGGGCACAGTGAACCCCTGATCAAGCACCCRCTTCGRATGTTATCATCCATGAAATKGACGTTATTAGGCRTCATCAGTCCCCTAGAATGGCTTGAGAATGTCCCGGCTGTGCCAATTAGCAGGTTCCCCCATCCCATAGAATGGCTTCTGAATGTCAGCTGGTTAGTATGAGGCATAAAGCCACTCTCTGGTTAATATTAGGCATAAAGCTACTATCTGGTTAATATGAGGCATAACAAATCTGGTTAATATGAGGCATAAAGCCACCAAGGTTAAATTTAGAGAAAATGACATGGTTAGCGCTAAAGACACCACCCTCCACACACTGTATATTGTGGCTTTCCAATGGGGCAATGGGTAGAGCGCTTCATCAAAGAGCAGGAGACCAAGGTTTGAGACTGGCACGAACAGGACAAAAAATTTATTAAAATATGTTTTGGTTATTTAAAGACATTCATTGTAATTGATATATTAACCCACTAGGGGGCGCTGTCGACACAGTCTGAAGGCTAGAAGGCACAGTAGGGACATTCTGAAGCCATTGTATGGGACTGATAATGCCTAATAACATCCATTTCATGGACTGATAACATCAGAATCCCCTGGATCAACAAAATTATACCTCTTAAAACAAGTTTAAACATACTATGGTGGCCAGAYTTCTGTAAAATACATTCAAATTCTGATATAGTTTGTCATCTTTACAAGAACAAAACYATTTTAGACCCAATATTATCAGCATCCAAAATATACACAATTCACTTTATCTGTTTCTTTCGTTGCATGTTTTTTAAACATTTTAATTTAATAAAATCTTGAAGTAGCAATCTATACCTCATTATGCAGCTGTGCTATTCCATTACTATTGTCAAATATTGTTCCGTATTTTCATAGTGTCCAATAGACATCCCTCTCACACACATCAACACTTAAAAAGCCCCTCCCCTCTTCCCCAGGCTCTGCTCCTCTGTGTGTCTGTGCTTCCTGCGTGTCTGCTCTCACAGTGACACACACACACCTGCGCTGCTTGCAGAACCCACGCTGATAAAAAAGGACGCTGCTCACGGAACCAACACCTTTGCCCATATCTTTTAAAAATATACACTACACTTGATAATCCACTACACCAGTGTTTCCCAAAGTTGGGGTCGGGACCCAAAGTGGGGTCCCGAAACATCAAGGTGGGGTCCTGAAAAGATTTTCTGAATTAATTACATTTTTGCCTTAGTTGGTACAAAGGAGTGAGGTTAGTGTATTTAAAATGGATAAATGTAGTATAAAAAAATTGTTACTATGCCCATGTTTTGTTGACCTGATACAAATGTTTGTCACCCAAAAATAGTTGGGGGCTCAGGTCTCTGCTACTGTTTTGTACTATTTTGCGGGTCAAAAGCTGAGAAGTTTGGGAACCACTGCACTTTGGTTCCCAAAGTTGGGCTTAGGACCCAATTATGGGTCATGAAGCACCTTGGATAATCTCCAGAAATCAATTTAAAGGGTAATAAAATAATTGCAGATGTAATATTTTCCCDATAATTATTACAAAAACACAAAACAAGTATAATATTTATATTTGTGTGTGAGCTGTTTAGATTGTCAAAAAGCCTGTGTTTTTAGGGTTATTAACGAAGTTCATGTACTCAGACCAGTAATATTTGGGGTCACAAGTTTTTGCCATGGATAGGTTGTGGGTCAGAATTCAAAAAGTTTGGGAACCATTGCACTACACCCTCAAAATGAAATGTTTACAAAAGTGAAGAAGTGAGTTGGAAGAGGAACATCTTTGGCTGCAGCGTCGGTGGAGATGATTACAATACAAATTGTAAAATGTGCTGGTGAATTTTTTTATAGCAGCTTGAAAACTTTATTGTAAACAAAAGAACTTMGTTATACCAAGTGAACAATCTGACACGAATCAGTGTAACGAGACCAGGTCTGGAGGATTTTGATGCAAGGGAGTGTGTGGAAAGCTGCTTTAGCAAAGGCCAAAGATCCACAAGGCCAGACTACAGGAGTTGGTCATCTGAGGGGCATGTGTAGTCTAAAAAGACACTTARCCATGAAATGTTCAGTTTGAGATGTTGTTCAGCCCTTAAACTTTTGCACTAATAATTTAGAATTTCTTTTGTTTCATTTGTCTTGAGATGTTTAAGTTAAAATTACAGATMTTAAAATCACTTTAAATACATTTTCAGTAAGTTATACAGTATGTCCTGTACAATGCTGGTTCAAAYRAAGAACTTTGTGTTCACTAGATTGTTAATTAATTATTTGTGAGTTAATATTGCCTTAATAAACAATGATTAAAAAAAGCTAACTTATAAAACTGCGATGTGAAATTAGACAGTTAAAAATTTGGGTGCATTTAACATTTGTGCTGCTACACCTAWAAAACAAAGGTTAGGCACACTGATGCAACGAAGGCAAAATGTTAGGCTAGAATCCTGATATATAATAAAACATTAAATAAAGTGATTCAAGAACAACGTTTAGTTAACGGTGATGCAACACATCTTTTCAAACAACCAGTAGTTTGCCCTCCTCCATTACACAGTAGCCAGCTGTAGGGTGACCAGAGGGTGACTGGAGGGTGAGAATAAGTGTTTCACAGCTTCAAAGTGTCACACACCATTAACTTGTTCCAAGGTTGGCATTCAAATTGCTATCTGTCCGGTATACTTTTGACCTGATGTGTGCAACATTAGCTCTAGTAAAACACCAACCAGGTGTCTGCCAGGAAGTGTCTTACACCCCATTACTATTTAACCAGCCAATTCAAAACCTCAGAGGGACAAAAAMGAGTTGGGGTAGGGGTGCTTGATGAAATGCAGTCTTTTACGGTTGGAAATGGAGCTACAAAGATAAGGAAAACAAATATTATTGAGATACCAGAAAAAAAACCTATACAGATAAAAACAGAGCAATTCAAAATAGATCAAATGTAAAATTAAAACATTTTTTGCCCAACAACAAAAAAAATCTATAGCTACCGATTAGATTAAAAACGCATTTCAAAAATTAGAAAATGCTGATTTTTTATTTTGCTACGTACACATTTTCATTATTTCTTCTCAGAAATGTTAGGTCAGTGGCAAATGATAATTGTGTCACACTCTCACAGTGTTTGTATTTGGTTCATTGTTTTATCCTCCTGTGTTCAGTTTTTGTTCCCGTGCTCCTCTGAGCAAACCAGCAACTTCTGCCTCAGTACTTTTCCAGTTAGCCTGTCATGCCTAAAACTTTCACAAATAACCACTTAACTTTTAGAGTGAATTCTATTCAAGAAAGCCACCACAGCTAAGTGACCTTATCAAACACAAACAAGGCTTTAGCTCAGCCAATATTATAGATATTGAGCTAAATCTCTGAATGATAACAGCCGAGAGTCATTCCAAACACCTACGCAGAGCACCAACTGATCTCACAAAATCTGTGTTTCCATTACATAGCTCTTGGAATCAATTGCATTTGTTATGAACATAATGAGCCACTGGACACATTTTTTCAGAAACTAATAATTGGCTCTACATCTAAAACTCATTAACATTTGGAGTCAACTCTTTTTAAGATGGTCTCCGCAGTCAAAACAGATACAACTCATTTCTCAACATAAGGTCTGTTTTGAAGTATAGTTCTGTTCTTCTTCAACAAGAGCTTTACTTTTATACCTATTTGTTGTTTTCTGGTGCCATTTATAACATGATAGACGCCTCTTATATTTACAGTATATGTCAGGTAGAATCCTGCTGATTACAGGATGATAATCCTAAATGTTGATTTGTCATTTTGATCAGTTTGATCAGACTGTCAATACAATAAGTTTGATTTCTGTGGCAAAACCACTTGACACAAGCATATCTGGGCTTTTTCAACTCATTCTTCAGTAACTCAGCTCAGAACACGAGGAGTGCCATGTTCAGCAACTTTTCAGCGTGATTTAACAACAGGCTCTAAACAAATACACGTGTGGAGGTCTGACTAGGTGTTATGTGGTTGTTCTGGAGGGTGGACACTTGGCTGTCAAGATCAGCTGAGGGCCATTTGTCAAATGTGAGGACATCAAGAGAAGTGCTGGAATGTGAAGCAGTCCTTTGGTAGTTTGGCAGAAGGTATTGTGTGTTGTGAGAGCATTGTGACTATGTCCCACCCACTGGCTTTCATAGCAGGGAGGGGTGTCCCCACTGGAATGCCCAGCTACAAATCTGCGGTGCATTAAAATTAAAGGACCCACATAAAGATAATAGGGCATTGCTTTTCTCTCCCCCCCTCTTCAATAATAATAGGGTATTACTTAAATAATACTGTGGGCAGGCCAGACCATAAAATAACTCTGATTTTATTTGCAGGGGTTTATTTTCCAGGGAAAGGGAATAACCACTTTGCAAAATCTGTCTTTTCTCTTCTTGCTTGTACTCATTTAAATGTTCTACTTCTTTCATACAAAGCAACAGTTTTAATTGGGGAAAACTGTAGGTACACAGAAAAATCAAAAGTTACRAATAGTCAAGAAAAAGAACACTATTCTTGCTTTAATGAGGACCACACAGCTACATATTCATATACAAAGTAAATAAGACTCTTTATATCTAAATTGAGGATAAATTGTGAATGGGGTTTTTGAAAACCACCCTACCAAGCCCCACCCACAGGTCTTCATCATTTCTGTTTTTATTTGGACTGACAGCAAGGACTGTTGGATCAATGGCTGCACCCACACAAGTTTGCATCAACAGTGAGGTCTGGTCTCCCTCATGCACTAATGATGATGTTAGAGAGCCAGAGCCAAACACACAGAGCTCCAATGATGCCTCATCTCTTCCTTGAGTCCTTTTTTCACTGAGCTGTCCTCTCTTAACTGAACCCTCTCTTCCACTGCCAGACACCACACTTGTACTTTTTTTCTTCTTTCTTGTACTCATTTAAATTGTAAGTTCAACATCAAATGTTTAAACTCCTAGCCCAAATCTGC